CCTGCCTACCTACCTACCTACCTACCTACCTACCAACCTACCTACCTACCTACCTACCTACCTACCTCATTATCAATATTTTTGTTTTGGGACATCTAGAATAAAATCATTGATTTTTGAAGCTTGATCTCAATTGTAAATAAGGGAATAAATTAAACTGTCTTCTTCTATCATTAGGATTTTCTCCTCCATTTGGTGAATCATTAAGACCTATTGAGAAAAATACAGGAGAAAAAGAACCTAAAAATAATTATCACTATCACTACCACCTCCCGCCGGCACCACCACCACCACCGGCACCACAACCTCTACAACCCCATCAAGCTCCTACACTACCAGGTAAATCTATCAGTCTACTTAAATAGAATGTAAATCTACCCCCCGTCACCCAATCAGGATCCTTAAATAAAATGTACATCTACCCTCCGTCACCCCATCAGGCTCCTTCATTAGCAGGTAAATCTACCTCCACCCTACGCAAATACATGGAGCTGACATTCCACCTGATAAAGAACGCTATAACGTACTAGACAACACTTTTACTTTATTTCAGTTTGTCTCCCTTCTTGTTCTTCTCCTCTATCATGCGCATATTATTGCCCATCTCATTGCTGCAAGAGAGCGTTCACAACCAATACAAGATCAGATGTACCACGGACGCCCAATGGCTGCGTGTGCGGCAGTGACTGCTCCCCGAAGGATCCAAACAAGACGGTCGTGTGTTACAGGATGTGCAAAGAAATATGTAAAGATAAACAAACTCACAAAGATGGTTAATCTGATTACATATAAAACAAAGAAATACATATCTCTGGCTGACATGTGGCTAGATAGAGTACGTCTATTTATATCTTGATTGGCAGTTGGGATGTCACGTGACGAATTAAAAAACTTCTGCTTTCGTTTAAAAGTGATTATGAACGCTGGTTCACAAAGAAACTACTTCATAAGAAACACCATACGGAAGACTTGGTAACTTTGCACTATTCTTTTGCTATGTTTCGTTCTGCTGTATTTTTACACGCAAAAGTATCAAATAAAAATTTTTAAAAAAGGATTTATGTTTTCCCACTTGAATTTTCTCCTCGATTATCTAAAGCTTCGTAGCGTCACGTCACTTCCAAAACGGAGTACCTCCTCCTCATTGCATGGGCATTTTGATTTCTTGAGCTTTGAAGAATGGAGTCTTAAAGTTGGGATCCAAAAGAGTTTATAAAATTATTGTAAATAATTATTTTACCTGAATTCCTACTTAAAAAAGCAAGAAACACATCGACATTCAAAATGGAGTCGTATTTCGAGTTAACCTTTTTGCATGAGGAGCTTTGGTCAAAAAAGTTTACTTTGCATGAGGTCTTTTTAGGTATGAAGTAATGTCCATCATTCCTTAAGTATAAGTGTGAAGGTGTCAATCATGTTGTCAACATACACTTGTTCTTTGTAATTAGAGCAGATACACGGTAAGTCATTCCATCATCAACTTTTTGTTTGGGGTCTTATTCATGGACCTGATTTTCTACTGCCTTATCCACGCAAAATATAACAAATAGCACTTTCGACACTTCATAACCCTAAACCGGTGACATAGCGAGTTTGTTTCATAGAAAATTAATGTCATCCTTTATGTGTCGCGCGCCTGTATATCTTGATTAAGTCTGCCTCCGGCCGGCTGCAGTGATTGGTATTTTTTAAAAATTATTAGAACATATATTCAAAAGTCGACGTGCTTAGTTCACGTTACTTTCTAATGTTTTTCTTCTTCTAAATACGATAAAGAAATAATTTTCGTTGTACGCTTTCTAATCGTTAACAAAATATGCAAAATCCGAATATTGATTATAATTTTCTGCTATGATATGATTTCATTCAGGCTCATCGTACAGTCGTTAGTCTACTATAGTCACACAGTCGAATGCTTGATAAAACAAAAACAACATGAAACATGAAACTACTGTAGTATATTCTTAATAAAACAATCTGCTCTAATTTTTGAATGCAATTTTTGACTGCGATACCTTGAAGGTGTCGCTAAACGTAACATGAAACTACTTTATGTCAATCAAATCTTAAACTTTGACCATAGCTCCTCATGATACGTCCTGAACTATAACTTTACTAATTTTACTTTGAAAAATGCTATGTTACATGTATCAGCAAAGTTCCCCTAGATCACCTGGTAGTAACATGTGATACAGCAAACGTAAGCAAATAAACAAAAACGGATGCCACTTTATAAAGCACAAAAATTTCAGGCCGCTCAAATCTCAGCACAACCCGTCAAATAAGTCTCGATCCTAGACATGTTTTAGCATTTCGTTTCGGTGATTAATCGAAATCCAGTTCTGTGGGTTAGCACATAAGTCAGTGGATTTTATGGTGGTCTATTGTTGACAAAACGAGACATGACGACAAGAGAAAAACCTCAGGACAGTTACGAAGTATAACCCGTCAAATTAGTTTCGTTGATCCAAATCCACTTCTATGATTGGTCCATACCAATGGAGCATGGTGGTATAATGTTGACACTACTATCACGACTGTTCATAAACATCCATCGATTGCTCCACCATAGACTCATGATCAGCAGTCCTTTAAATAACTTTAAGTCGAACGGGATGATTTCTCAAACAATTTACGAGTAATAAATGAAATTCCGTAAAAAGGATAGCAAAATCAGAAAAAAATTAGTGGACTTTTAAACGGTAATGGTTGAAGATTTCGATCTCCAGACATGAAKAATTTTTTCTTGCTGGTGTTTGGAAATCTCGTCTGGATTTCCTTGGCGGCTCATCACAAAAAACCTTTTGCCCCAGGTAAGATTAACAAACTTTTTATAAAAATACTAACGAGAAACGGGCAATAATAACGAAAAATTATTATTACTTCTAAAAATTAAATTTGCCACAGAATTTGATAAATTTATATTAAGGTGGCTGCCTACTTTTGAACGTTCGATTTGAGCCCACGATGTGCGCGCGCTCAAAAACCGCTGAAAAATCTACAAGATTTTATTGAAGAACCATACGCGTTTTGAGCTTCAACAGGGCAAAACCCTCAAATTTTGCACGGGACTCTATAT